CTCAGCCTCTGCCTGACTCTGTGTCCCCTCCCTCATGCAGGATGAAGAGAGGGGAGCTCTTTGACTACCTCACTGAGAAAGTCACCTTGAGCGAGAAAGAAACCAGGTAAGGCCAGGTGCACAAATCACCTTGCAAGAGCAGAGTGTGCTTAGAGGGGAGAGCACAGCACCCTGGGCTGTGTCCCTGTGCACTGTCCCTGTCCCCTTCCCTGGGATGGTGGTGCCAGTGGGTGTTTGGGACAGGGAATGAGCTGTCCCCATCCCCAGGAAGATCATGCGAGCGCTGCTGGAAGTGATCCAGTACCTGCACTCCATCAACATCGTCCACCGGGACCTGAAGCCGGAGAACATCCTGCTGGATGATGACATGAACATCAAGCTGACAGATTTTGGCTTCTCCTGCCAGCTGAATGAGAATGAGAAGCTCAAAGGTAAGGGGCTGGTGAGGTAGGGGGATGCTGGGCTGGTGAGTTTTTCCAGCCCCACTCTCTCCTTGTCACCAGTCTCACCTGGGGGTGTAAATTGGTGCTGTTTGGCTGCTTTTGCTGTCCTCACACACAAGTTCTGCCTGCACACAGTCTCCACACCTCTCTCCTTGCCATGAAAAAGTTGCTGATCTTTAGGAAAACCATCCTAATCCATTCCACTTCTTTTTTCCTCCAGCTGATCCCCATTACCTCATCCACTTACTGCCCCATTGTTTTACCCAACTCCTACATGCAAAGAGCCACATACCCAACAACAAGCATCCCCTCTCACAAGCATCCATATAATTTTCTTTTGCTCACTTTTAAGCCACAATAATTCACCAAAAAAGTCACCAGTGAGATGCACACAGGTTGCAATTCCTCCCTATGAGCACCATCCCTGCAAAGATCCCACCATGGGCAGCCTGGAGTGGGTGGGAATGGCACCTGGGTTGATGCTGTGGCCTGTGTCCCTGTCCCCACAGAGATCTGTGGCACTCCTGGCTACCTGGCCCCTGAGATCCTGCAGTGCTCCATGGATGATGAGCACCAAGGCTACGGGAAGGAGGTGGATATGTGAGTGATGTTCCCTAAACACACACACGTGGTTTGAGGCACGGCCAGGACTGTGCCCATGGGGACCTGTTGGAGTGTTTGGAAAGAATGAAATGATGCACCAAAAGCCAATATTGGTGGCTGTGAGGGGCTGTCTGGGTCACCAGGGGGTTCTGGCAGAGAGCAGGGGGAGCACCAGCCTGGGGACAAACCCATCCCCTCACTTTGTCCCATTGTGGGAGCGAAAGCAACACTCTCTGTTCATGGAAGTCAGCTTGGGCTGAGCTCCAAGACATGGGGGTTTTAAACACCTTGTGCAGCCCCTGAGAGAGCAGCCAGCTCAGGGCAGCTCACCAGAGCTCTGCAGGGACTTTGCCACCACTTCTGGTGGCTTCAGGCTGCAGTGGTCAGAGTTGTGACACACACCAGGGCATTTCATCCCCTTTCCAGTCTGAGCCAGGACACCTGGCACTGCACAGCCTGAGCTCATCCAGCCTGGCTGGCACCACCAAACCCCACTCCCTTCCCTAAAAATCTCTGCAAGGCCCAAATACTGCATCTCAAGGCATCCAGGGAACAATTCCCCACCAGCTCAGCTCAAACCCCCCTGCAGCTCAGCTCAGCTCATCCCCCCTCCCCAGGCACACGCAGGGCAGTTCCCTGCTGGTTTTCCAGGTGCTTCCAGTTTCCCTGCTGGTTTCCCCTGGGGTGCAGAGCCAGCTGGGTGCCCGGGGGTGGCACAGGGGTGCTGGAGGCTCCGTGTGGGCTGCCCACAGCTGGAGCACGGGGGTGACCATGCACACCCTGCTGGCCACGGGGGTGACCATGCACACCCTGCTGCCCACAGCTGGAGCACGGGGGTGACCATGTACACCCTGCTGCCCATGGGGGTGACCATGCACACCCTGCTGCCCACAGCTGGAGCATGGGGGTGATCATGTACACCCTGCTGCCCACACCTGGAGCACAGGGGTGACCATGCACACCCTGCTGCCCACGGGGGTGATCATGCACACCCTGCTGCCCACAGCTGGAGCACGGGGGTGATCGTGTACACCCTGCTGCCCACAGCTGGAGCACGGGGTGACCATGCACACCCTGCTGCCCACAGCTGGAGCATAGAGGTGACCATGTACACCCTGCTGCCCACACCTGGAGCACGGGGGTGACCATGCACACCCTGCTGCCCATGGGGGTGACCATGCACACCCTGCTGCCCACAGCTGGAGCATAGAGGTGACCATGTACACCCTGCTGCCCACACCTGGAGCACGGGGGTGACCATGCACACCCTGCTGCCCACAGGTGGAGCACGGGGGTGATCATGTACACCCTGCTGCCCACGGGGGTGATCATGCACACCCTGCTGCCCACAGCTGGAGCATAGAGGTGACCATGCACACCCTGCTGCCCACAGCTGGAGCACGGGGGTGATCATGCACACCCTGCTGCCCACAGGTGGAGCACGGGGGTGATCATGTACACCCTGCTGGCCGGCTCGCCGCCCTTCTGGCACCGCAAGCAGATGCTGATGCTGCGCATGATCATGAACGGCGATTACCAGTTCGGCTCCCCGGAGTGGGATGATCGCTCCGACACCGTCAAGGACCTGGTAGGTGCTCGGGCTGGGAAAACCTGGAGTGCAGGGGGCGTTGCAGAGCCCTGGGATAGCCCAGAGTGAGCGGCTCCCCCTGCAGATCTCGCGGTTCCTGGTGGTGGACCCGCGGCAGCGGTACACGGCGGGCGAGGCGCTGGCACACCCCTTCTTCCAGCAGTACGACGTGGAGGAGGTCCGGCACTTCAGCCCCTTCCGCAAATTCAAGGTGGGGATGAGGCTGGGAGCTGCAGGAGCCAGCAGTGGGATGGGTTTGGGAGAAACTGGGGGTTTGGGTAAGGCTGATGGGGATGGCTCTGCAGCCTGGGTGCAGACCAGGCACTCCCTCGCAGGAGGGAGTTAAGGGAGAAACTGCCTCTCACCTCCAAGAACATTGAAAGAGCTGCAGAGTTCAGCCTGGAGAAGAGAAGGCTCCAGGGAGACCTTAGAGCACCTTCTATTGCCTAAAGGGGCTCCAAGAGAGCTGGAGAGGAACTTTGGGCAAAGGATGGAGTGACAGGGCAAGGGGAATGGCTTCCCACTGCCAGAGGCCAGGGTCAGATGGGATAGTGGGGAGAAATTCTTGGCTGTAAGGGTGCTGAGGCCCTGGCAGAGGTTTCCCAGAGAACCTGACTGCCCATCCCTGGAAGGTTCCAAGGCCAGGTCAGACAGGGCTTGGAGCAACCTGGGATAGGTGAAGACTGCCCATGCCAGGGAGTAAAATGGGCTTTAAATTCCCCTTTAACTCAAACCATGCTGTGACTCTGTGATTCCCTGGCATGAACCCCTGCCCTTTGCCAGCCCTGCAGAAACTAAACTGTGCCAGGCACTGAGCTCCTCCTGACTCCCCCACATGGGGGGATGCATTGGGACCACTCCACTGTGGGGATTTCCTTGAATGCCAGGCTGTTCTGGGAGAATTCCCCTGACTGCCAGGCTGTTGTGGGAGGATTCCCGTGAATCCCAGGACTGTTGTGGGGAAAATTCCCCTGAATGCCAGGCTGTTGTGGGAGAATTCCCTTGAATCCCAAGCTTTTGTGGGAGAATTCCCCTGACTGCCAGGCTGTTGTGGGAGGATTCCCCTGAATGTTGAGATTCCTCTGAATCCCAGGCTGTTGTGGGAGAATTCCTCTGAATCCCAGGCTGTTGTGGGAATTCCTGGCTGTTGTGGTGAGAATTCCCTTGAATCCCAGGGCTGTTGGAAGGATTCTCCTGAATGCCAGGCTGTTGTGGAAGGATTCCCCTGAATCCCAGGCTTTTGTGGGAGAATTCCCTTGAATCCCAGGCTTTTGTGGGAGGATTCCCCTGAATGCCAGGCTGTTGTGGGAATTCCCTTGAATGCCAGGCTGCTCTGGGAGGATTCCCCTGACTGCCAGGCTGTTGTGGGAGGATTCCCCTGAATCCCAGGATTGTTGAGATTCCCCTGAATCCCAGGACTGTTGAGATTCCCCTGAATTCCAGGCTGTTGTGGGAATCCCAGGCTGTTGTGGAATTCCCTTGAATGCCAGGCTGCTCTGGGAGGATTCCCCTGACTGCCAGGCTGTTCCCTGTGCCCCAGGTGATCTGCCTGACCGTGCTGGCCTCGGTGAGGATTTACTACCAGTACAGGCAGGTGAAGTCAGTGACCAGGGAGTTGGTGGTCAGGGACCCCTACGCCCTCAAGCCCGTCCGCAAGCTCATCGACGCCTGCGCCTTCCGCACCTACCGCCACTGGGTGAAGAAGGGGGAGGCCCAGAACAGAGCTGCCCTCTTTGAGAACACCTGCAAGGCCATCCTGCTCACCCTGGCCACCGAGGAGGGGCTGTTCTGATCCCTGCCCCAGCCCCTGGTTTGGCTCACAGTAAGGCGAGTAAAATCTTGGAAAACAACATGGTGATTTCTGGGGTTTTTCTCGCTGGAGGAATGGGTTTGGAGAAGCCACATTTAACAGAGCCAGAACCAGCTGCAGCTCTCCATTGGGAAGGCTCAGCCCTCAGGCACCTGCAGTGCTTGTTTTGGGACAGCTGGAGGTGGATGAGGGATCCCTGAGCAGTGTTCTTGCCCACCCTTGTGGTCGAGGCTCCTGGTCAGGTTTGGTGCAGAGCCCGTGTACAGAGAGTTTGTACTGGTTATAACTCCTGGGAGAGGTGGGGCACTGCTTTGTCACACACAGCATTTTGTCACTGCTCCAATGCCAATCAAGGTGCCTTGTTTTGCTTCTGGGAAGGCTCAGTACTGCTCCAAAGCTGTGAATTCCCAAGGGAATGGAGACTGATTATGTGCCCACATCACTTCCCACCCTGATGGTCACAGGGGGCTCTGGGTGTCCCCTCACTGGGGCTGGAGGTCAGAGCACCTCTGGCCCAGTCCCACACATGCCTCCCTCTGCTTTACATGGACAACACAGGAGAGCTGGAGCATCTCCCACACCAAAAGGACACCAAAGACAAACCCCCCTTCCTGCCTTCCCAATCACTGCTCCCACCCAGACATCCCAGCACTGAAAAGGTTGAAATTATTTTTAACTTTAGAAACAATTGGGGTTTAATGGAAGTGACAGCTGGGGGGGGTTACTGTTCATCTCCACAGGAGAAAACGCCTCAGGTGTTCCCAGGGAGCCCTCAGAGCTCAGCTTTGCTCTGGCTTTTCCAGGCTGGCACGGGCGCGATGTCGGCAGCGCAGCGGAAGCTGAGGTTGTCAGAGGCAGAATCTGGTGTGTTCCCCATCCTCACAGGGAAAAAGAGACCCAAAATTAGGGATCCTTCCTCATTACACATATCCCTAATATGTTACAACACTCACAACCCTAATGTGACCTGCTAGAATAGCCTAGAAACATCATTCAATTCCCCATAATAACTTAGGGAAAAAGCATTTCAGTATTAATACCTGTTGGAAAACACATGATTTGAGAAGCATTTAGGAATAGATTTATAGCAGGGGTGGTTTTAGCCATATTTGTAGTGTGCTCTCCCAACTGCTTCTCAAAAAAATCGTGTAGGAACAAACAAACATCTTTTAAAATAAAACCAACCCAGAGAAAATCCTTGTGCAGCAACACCTGGGCTCTGGCCAGACCTACCTGGTGGTGACACGAGCTCTGTGGTTTGCAGAGCCATCTGCAGTGTCAATCCACGAGGCCCCTCTCAGCACCTGCATCTTCTGAGCCCTGGCTGCCCTTCCTGGAGCTGGGAATTCTGATGCTGTCCATTCCCAGGTGTTTCCCAGCAGGTCATAGAGCCCTGAGATGGTTTTGTGTCAGCATTAGGAGAGCAGGTGGGCAAGAAAGGTAAATTTGGTGAATAGGAGGGGGAACAACATTCAAAGGAGCTGTTCAAGAGCGTGGTTTAATGGTGAGGCTGAAGAAATTCCTCACTTATTTTAAACTTAAATGTGTCGTCATTTCCCATGTGCACAAGGACATGGCAGTCAGAAAATGTCCTTGGAATTGTTTTACATCCCACTGAGTTGTAAAACAACCCAGTTTTAATTAAAAGGAGGTGCTTTGGTGCCTGAAGCGCAGCAGGTGCACCTCAGCCAACTCCAGCCCCAGCCATCGATGCTTTTCCTCTGCTCCAGATCCCACACATCTAAACCCTGCCCAGCTCCAGGATCTGATAATTAACATGAATGGAGGGAGCCATCCCCAGAGCAGGGCGAGGGCGCTGTGTACCGTAGCTGTTCTGGGCAGGGAAGGCTGTCACCGGGGAGACGCCGTGGTAGCCGTCCTCAGCCGTGTCCCCCCGAGGGAAATCACCCTGGGGGAACAGAGATCACTGCCAGCAAAGATCCACCCCAGGAACAACCCCAAATCCTGCTCCTCACAGGGCTGTGCCACACTCCAAGCAGGCAAATAACTCTCTGGTGGCAATTTATGTTGCTCAAGAGAGATCAACCACCTGAAGTTGTCCCATGTTCCCTCTTCGAACAAATTTTGTGTGAATTTTTAGAAGCAGTAAAATCCTGGTTTCCCAGGGAAGATGGGCTGAGCCTGCTCCCTCTGAGAGTATTTTTACACCCCCTCAGAAGCTCAGTTTCAGTACCCCCAGTGGCTGAGTGAAACCCTCCCTGAGGACAGCCCAGCATGGATGGGATGATCTTTAGGCTCTTACCTGCCACAGGTTTGTACGGTTTGCCTGGAACTTGTTTCCCCAGGGATACATCCTTTCTGCCAGGGAGGAAAAGGCAATTGTTAACCCTGGGTCACTCCAGCCAGGCTTTTAGGATTGTCCTTTTCTACTCAGCTTAAGACACTGAAGTTTTATTAATTTATTTTAATCATTATTAATATTACCACCCTCTCAGGCCAAAAGAGGTGGTTCAAACCCCCCTAGACCAACACCTGAAAACATCCCTGGAGGGAGGTTTGGCTCTGGTGAAGTAATAGAACCCCATGCCTGCTTTGGGAAGAGCTCAGGGCTTGTGCTACGTACGCTGCAGGCCTCCCCTGGCAGCAAACTCCCACTCCTCCTCCGACGGGAGCCGCTTCCCCTGCCACGCACAGAAGGCCTGAGCATCGTTCCAGCTCACGTGCAGCACGGGGTAATCCAGCCTGTTCCTGATGCTGGAGCCAGGGCCTGAGGGCTGGGAGGGATTGAAGCACATTGGAATTCATTTTGTGTAGTTTGCATTACAAAGGGAATAAGGGGTGGAGGAGGTGAAAGGATGGAAAATGGTTTTTCACTTGTTTTTAGTCGATAAGGTTTAGCACACACAACACACATGAACTACCAGCATGGAGAGGAGTCACCACACCAGAATTTTATCACACCAGGATTTTATCACACCAGGATTTTATCACACCAAGATTTTACCACACCAGGATTTTATCACACCAGGATTTTATCATACCAGAATTTTACCACACCAAGATTTTATCATACCAGAATTTTATCACACCAAGATTTTACCACACCAGGATTTTATCACACCAGGATTTTACCACACCAGGATTTTATCACACCAGAATTTTATCACACCAGGATTTTACCCACACCAAGATTATATCACACCAGGATTTTACCCCACCAGGATTTTATCACACCAGGATTTTACTCACTTGTCTCCAAAAAGCCTTCTCGATGGGCAGCCACCACGGGGCTGACTGGGGAAAGAAATGACAGCAGGATTAAAGGTGAACTGGTGACACCTGGGCTGGTGACTCTGTCCACAGCAGGGTGTGTTAGTCTGGGAAATGCTGCAGTTTGAGCTGGGTTATCACAGACATTTGGATGCTGCTTTTGCACAGAGCAGAGGCATCTGCTTTTAAAAGTGAAAACAGATCAAGAGGCTCATGCTGTCCAGTTTTTCTATATTATTGAAGTACTTTGAAACACATTTTACTTCCTCCCAGCTCCCTGGAGTCCAGACTGACAGCTCACAGAGCATGGGAACAGAGGAGTACATGAATCAACCCCAGCTCAGTCCTGCTGAGGTTCAAAAGCAAAACAACCCCAGACTAAAGAAAAACCCCTGAGAACAGCAGGCTCTGCAAAGAGGCAGCTGCTCCTCAGTGGAAAAGCAACACCAAACTCATCATAGGATTCAGATTTACCTCCAGTTTTTGGGTGACTTTTTTTTTCAGCTCTTCAGATACGAAATCCTCAAAGACAAAGCTCCAGCCAAATGCTTCTGCTTCTGTTTTGTATTTCTTTTCTCTAACAAACTCCCTGGCATAAACACAACATGCTCTGGGTGAGAGTTCTTCAAGCTCTGCCTCACAAATCTGCTCGTGCAATGAGTTCAGAGCAAAGCAAAAGGTACAAAACTTACAGACCCCCCCAGCTCCAGATGGTTTAATTTAGATTTAACAGATAAAACACTCCAGTGAGCATCTTTGCACAGATTTGATAGTTTTTATGTCACCTGTGCAGGTAAACTCAGCCTGCACTCAGGTTTCCATAATTGTGGAGAGAAAATAAATCCCTTAAAAGCCAATAAAAGCTGTGGCTGCTGTTAGTGGAAGAGGAGAAGAAGAGAGGAAGAGAAGAGAGGGAAGAGTGAAAAAGAGAGGAGAAGAGCAGAGAGAGAAGAAGAGAGGGAAAGAATAGGGAGAGGAGAAGGACAGGAGGAGGAGGAGAAGAAAAAGAGAGGAAGAGGAGGAGAAAAGGAGGAGAAAAAAAGGAAGAGATGAAAAAGAGAAGAAAAAAAAGAGGAAAGAGAGGGAGAAAAGGACAAAAAATAGGAAATAAAAGTATGTCTGCAAGCTACACTGCCACGATGGTTCAGCTTGCACCTTTGACAATGATTTCCTATAGACAAACACATTTTTTTTTCCAACGAGCACCCAAGCATTGGCTTTCAGACGCCAGGAACCAGCCCCAGAACAGCTGGCACCACATCTGGCCCTGCCCCTCCTCACGGGCACCCGAGGCTCGGCGGGCTCACCTGAAGTCCCTGTTTGTCACCGGGTGTTTGTCCAGAGCAAAGGGCTTCACTGTCACCTCCCTGGCGGGCACCTCCTCGCCGCTCCTCTGCAGGGATCCCATCTGGAAGGTGCCCCCGGGCAGCTGCACCATGCTCCCCCCATCCTCTCCGAGCGCTGAAAATGGAGAAATGCGCTACAAGGTTCATTTTTAAACACTGCCCAGCCGCAGATAGTGACGGGATGGCCCTGCGTGTGCTGCAAGAGGTGACAACAATCGGTGTCCGCACAGCTCAGAGCGTTTAAAATCCCATTTTCGGGAAGGGAGCGATCCCAGGCTGGGGGAGCAGCAGGGGCTGCGGGAGGGGGATACGAGCGGGGATTCCGGGGGTGCCAGGGAGGATCTTGGGGATGCCAGGGAGGATTTAGGGGATGCCAGGGAGGATCTTGGGGATGCCAGGGAGGATTTAGGGGAAGACAGGGGAGGATTTTGGGGATACGAGGGGGGATTCCGGGGGTGCCAGGGAGGGTTTCAGGGATGCCAGGGGGGATCTTGGGGATGCCAGGGGAGGATCTTGGGGATGCCAGGGAGGATTTAGGGGATGCCAGGCAGGATCTTGGGGATGCCAGGGAGGATTTAGGGGAAGACAGGGGAGGATTTTGGGGATACGAGGGGGGATTTCGGGGCTCTCACCGCGCTGGGCCCCCAGCACCCCGCAGCACAGCAGCACCAGCCCCGCCGCCGCTCCCATCCCGGGGCCCGACCCGGAGGCGCTGCGGGCTCGGGAAGCGCTTCCGGGGCATCGCTTCTGTAGGAACGGGGATTTCTGCCGGGGCTAAAACTGCCGGGCACCGGGGCCACACAAAAGAGGGTTTTTGGGGTGTTTGGGGGGTTTTTGTAAGGTTTTGTGTGTGACAGAGGAAGGAGATTCCTCTTAACACAAAGCACGCTGTTTTAGGGAAAATCATCGCAGAGGGCAGGAGGCTCTTGCCTTCCCACAAACCCACTGGAAGCTCTGCCCAGAGCTGCTCTGGCACTCGTGATCCATAAATGATGTAAAAGCACCACTATTAAAAATCCAGCCTTTATAGCAGGTCCTTCACACCCCTCAAACCATTCTACAGTGAACTCAGTTTTATTCATAAGCAAGTACAAAACTATTAAGCAATTGCCTTAATCCAGTATTTTTTAAAAATTTACTGAACAAATTCCAGGCCTGATCCCACCCCATTCCCAGAGCAGCAGTAGCAGTAATTTCACAAAAGTCTTGAGTAGTCATTTCACACAATTGCCAAGAGTAGGACTCAGGAATGCAGCCCCCACTGCAGAATGTGAAGGTTTAAAGAACAGACACTCAAAGCACAGAACAGAACAGTTTATTGGGTAAAAATGGAAAGCAACTGCAGCCACACAGTTCAGTGAAATCAAAAATAAATAACTCCTTTTTAGAGCCAATCTTTGATTAAGTTGCTGAGATTTTGAGTGGCCGTGGTACCAAGGGGGCTGCCCCTCATGGCAGAGTGACTCCTGCTGCTGGGACATCCACCACAGCCAAGGCCAGGGCCCTGGGATGGATTCCCTGGAGAAATTCCACAGGGAGCAGCTCCAGCTCAGCCCTTTAGGGAGGACATCCCAGCTCTCATGATTTCATCCACCAGGAGAATGTTGCTGGCAATCACTGTGCTGGAAACAGGGAAACAGCAAAGAAATATTGTTACAATTGCCAAACTGAGCTTCATTTTTGTGTTTCAAGACATCTTCCTGTACATGGGATCCCCAGTTCTACATCACTTGAACACACACACAGAGTAATGGTACAACTGAAATCCTGCCAGCCTTACCATGAATGAAGCAGCTGCTTTTTGACATTGTAATTATCCCAGATTCCAGCTGCTGCAGCCACCATGGGTTCCCCTGCAACAGAAGTGAAGAGCCTTTAAAAAAACAGTTCACACAGAGAGTTTCTGCTGGCTGACATCTGATATCACTCACTCACTGTATCCAACAGTGTTGCCATGTGCTTTGTCCTCAAATCAGCACACACTGAACTACAGCAGCCTGACTGCCACAGCTTCTGTGCAGCGTTTCATCAATAAAGATAAAACTTTCTGCACTCAGAGCACTTTGTGCTTCAGAGCTGAGCCAGGTTCTTACTGGAGCATCAGCCTGTGGCTGAGTGAGTCCTTACCAGTGTTGAGATCAACCCCAGTGAGCTGCCCCGACTCCACGTGCTCTGCCTGCACCTTCACCAGCGTCTCCTGGGGATCATAGCCCGAGTTCTGAGCAAGCACCTGGCACAGAACAGAGGGATTGGCTTCACTCTGCTGATTACAGAGCCCTCCAGCAGAAAAAGCACCGAGTCTGTGTGTGCTTTAAAGCCACTTTATCACCCAGAACTCCTTTTACCTTAGGAATGATGAGCAGAGCATCAGCAAAAGCCTGAACTCCAAGCTGGGCTCTTCCTTTCACGTTGGGTTTGTGTTTCACAAGAGCATTGGCTACTGCCACCTCCAGGGCCCCTGCTCCTGGCACCACACATCCTGCAAGGGAGAATCACCTGTTTCAGTTTCAGCAGCTCGTTTTTAGTGCAGTTTGATCTCTTCCCTCCATATCCTGCACCTGAACAGGTGAGTCATCAACCACACAACTATAAAATCACCTCACCCTGAACTCAGGAGCAGGAACCAATGGAGCTGATACCTAATTCCCTCATTTTGGGATGGATTTCTAGAATCCTAATGATGATTACCAGGGAGGGCACTCACCATCCTCAATGGCGTTTTTGACAGCCCGCAGCCCATCCCTCACTGCATCCTTGATCTGGGTCAGCGTGTGCTTGTTGGGGCCCCTGATGAGCAGGGTCACCGAGCGGGGGTTCTCACACTTCTCAATGAAGGTGTACTTCTCCTCCCCCTGGGGAAAACACAATCAGCTTTGCCTCTCAGCCACTTGCTTCAGCACTTTGTGGACACAAATTAATAAACTGGATGCTTTCAGGCTGGGTTCTGCACTGACAGCACTTCCAGAAGTGATGAGAAACAGCAGAACTTGATTTCCGTTTTCTCAGTCTATGACAGGAGCAAACATCCAGGCAGATGTTCACATCCTAGTGGATTTTAAGTGTTTTATTTCAATACTCCAGCTTTACCCTTCAAACACTTGGTCACTCACCAGGGTGTACTCATAGACCAGCCCTGCATGTCCCAGGCAGTCAGGAGTGAGATCCTCCACAGAATTCATGGCAGTGCCACCACAGGCCAGGGTCAGTCTGACAGAGAACAGGCACAGCTCAGCTTTATCTTCAATAAAACCCAAAGTCACAACAAGTGCAGTTTTCCAAGCCTAGGCTTGCAACAGTTTGGTTCTGTTCATGGAAGAGCTCTTTAAAAAACTGACTTGTAGAATTAAGGCTCCTCTGTAGGTGTCTGCATTTAAAGCATCTGAGAGCTCAAACTGCCCTGAGTTACACCAGAAGAGCTGCACAGACTGAAGTGGCACTTTCAGTCAAGCCTTTAAAGATGGATTTAAGCCAGGCTTGACTGACTGTCTCAGTTTGGAGGAGCAATTATTGTATCCTCTCCTCTCCCCAAAACTGACCTTTCCATGTTCCTCCTTTTAGCTCTCCTCAAAGCAACAATTCCTTCTTTGGCAAGGGCATCCAAGGAAAACGGGTCAATTCCCTGCAAACACAAAGTGACCATCAGCATAAAGCTAAAAACACCTCCTCTCTCTCTGACACTTAGAAGTTCTTCCTCAAGGCTCAAAGAAGATCTCAAGTAGGAACTGTACATTATATTCAGAACTATCAGCCTAAATTTAACTAATTCTGGCATTACAAATAATTTTTAGTTATTCTCTTCATCTCACCTTCTGGTTGATCACAACAAATCCTTTGTCTGAGTCGCCACAGACTTTTCTTTTCAACTCTATGATTTTGTTGACTCTGTCTTCAATGAACTTTCTTTCTGCTTTCACCAACTTCTCCCTCTCCTCAGCACTTTTGTAGAAGAATCCAGAGCTCACCTCCCTGAAGGGGAAAAAACCCACAAAAAAGCAGTGAGAAAACTTCCTCTCTGCTGTTGAAATAAACTTGAGCATAAGGAATGAGCTTTTCAGTAACATTCTGAAAAAAATCAACCCAGAACAAACCAGTCCCTCCAACCCACACTGCTGTTCCTGCTCTCTGGTTCAAAGCTTTTCCACTTCAGAGTTCTCTGTTTTAAGTGTCTGCCTTATTTTTTGAAGTGCATTGATGTATTTGCTCTACAATATCAAATTGTGCCCAAGAAAGGAAGGACTTTCAACCTTTCTGTGATCACACAACAAAATAAAACCCATTGTGAAGCTCTGCCTCTCACAGATTTGTTCACCCATCATCTTTCCCAAAAGGGCTGCAGAAGGGGCATCACCTTTCCCCTTCACAGTCTTGGTTGGTATTTAAGCACATTTTAAATAAAAGTCCTCAGGACAGGAGCATGTGCTGGGTACTCACGTTTTCTCATACTCCAGAGAGACATTGCAGGTAAGAATAAAAGCATCTTCCACTCTTTTCTTCATGTCAGGGTGGCGAGCTCCATGATCCAGCACCAGCCCCCTGATCAGCCTGCAAGGTTCAAAACCCCTCTGGGTGTCCATGGACACAAATACAGGAATCCATGGAGTGCAGAGAGTGGAACTGCTCCAACCCAAACTGCCTGGGCACTGGTGGCAGATGTGTTCCCCTTCCAAGGGCATGCTCATTCCCATCAAAAAGCACACCAGGCACAGTGGAAAAAAGGAATTTGCTCTGGCATGGTGTCTGACTGCACCAGCTACTGAGGAAAGCTAGGGCAGAATTCATCCATGCACTGAGGGAAAGGGAAATCCTATGGAATATCCAATCCACAGCCCAGTTTCCATTTATCAAATGCTGCTTTGTATTTAACAGATGCCAACCTAAAACATCAAGCCACAGACACTAAGAAAAAAAAGTATTTATCCAACCTTGTTAAGCCAGTGTTGCTCTTTGCTGTTTGATAATTTTATCAAGAAATCAATTCAGTGAGTGAGAAACTTCTGCCAAGATATTTGTGGCTGAAATTTGTATTTCAGCTCCTCCTGTGGTAGCTCTAGGACACCCTAAAGAGAAACCAAACCCCCCCAGGCTCCTCAAAGCTCAGGGTTCCATTAAACTGAATCCCAAGGATCCTCCTGACTTACGTTGTGTCAGTCTCTGATTTGTGCTTCATCTCCATGATT